TCCACCAAGATCTCCATTGAGCACTGAGCTAAAGTGTCAAAAGCTTAGACATCTTGCAAGTGGAATAACACGAGCAATAGGAGGAAAAGGGTGGAAGGAAAAAAATTCTCCCTACCGAAAATGAAATTTTGAATGCAGTTGAATATTTCAAGAAAAGGGATCCTAAGATGCTTCGACCTCATAACATAAACGACCATCATACGTTTAGTCAAAGGTTTTGACAATGACAAATTTCACAAAGCTAACAAGATATGAGCACATCGCGATAAATTGGTCAACTGTTTGAAATTTTTAAGAATGCTATGGAGATTAAAAAATGCCTTGTTGTCGCATTTCGTTAAGCAATGAATTCAACCTACAAGGAATGTTACTGCAAGTATATTAGAAACTCCAGCCATCAATAAGCAGGTATAGACCGACATCACTCTCACCCGCTCAAAAGGTTTCTCTACCGACACGATATTAGTAGGACGGACAATGAAATCCAGGCGCTTACTACTTCGGTCGCGACGGTACCACCACGACCCTGAGCGATGCCGGCGAGGCAATGGACAGCCAACTGGCTGGCATTATCACCCACCAAAAGGTATTTGCAACCCAGAACACGGGCTGTGTAGATCACTAACTGCTGCAAACGCTGCCATCGCAACATCTCTTCAGTTGCCGTGAGAGTGGAATTTGCAATGCGAGTCGAACCATCAAAATTGTGGTTTTTATCAATGAACGGGATCTACAATACACGAGACCATCGTCCGATAATGTTCTCATGAAGAGTGTGAGCTATTAAGTAAAGTAGACACCAGCAAACCTCATCCGTTCTCACAATTCGGTACTCGAAGCCTGCATCTTTCATGGCTTCCTCCTGTTTTTGAGGATAAGGTTGTCCGTCTTCTAAAATTCCATTACTTACTAAAGGTGTATGCATAATTTTTCCATCATAAGAGAGTTGAAAATAAAAAGAACGACGACCTACCATATAAACAAACAACCGTTGGAACAAAACGCAATTTTCGAGTTTCTGT